CGAAGCCACGCAAGCGGACTACCAAGCGCCGCGACATCGCAAGCGATGCGAGAACTGGTCCGAGCCGACCGCGCAGCTCCACTGGCGCGCGAGGCGGCCGTGTCTCACGTGCGCTGTGCATGCGGCAAGCGCCCATGCATCGTTCGCGATGACGCCCTGACTGGCCCCGCCCCCCCCCGCCCCCCGCAACGTCGTGCAATTCGCATCTGAGGCAGCTGGTGGCGGAGTTGGCGAAGCTCTGCTGCGATCTCGCCCATCCCGCCTGCGCTGAACAGCGGACGCAACTAATTACCTTGCCAGAAACTGAATTCATGACGATCTCCACGCGATGCTCAAAGACCAGGGGCGGACAAATCCTGCCCCCCCCCTCCCTCCCCCCCTGGTCACGTCGCGATTCGCGCTGGCGCCCTCTGGGAATCAGCACTTCCTAGGAGTACGCATTCCCAGGCAGCGCTGGCGCGAGTCGCTACGTTACCTGCCCATTTCCCACCTCCCCTCCCTCGGGGTCACGCCCGTTCTCGCCATGGGATGCAACAGTTGTCTCTGAGACGTGGGCCAGGCGCCGGCGAGGATGAGGACGCGAGGGGCAACGACCGCGAGCTGGGCTTTGAGGGGCGGCGGGGCCAGGCGCCGGCGAGGATGAGGACGCGAGGGGCAAGGACCGCGAGCTGGGCTTTGAGGGGCGTCGGGGCGCGGGTCGGGGCACGGGGCGGGGCGGGGCAACCATGGGCGGCGGCGCGCGCGGGCGTCAAGCTTCACCTCTTCAACTGCTCCCGATGTTGCTGCTGCTCCTGGTCCTCCTGAAAACACCTCCTCCTCCTCCTCCTCCTCCTCCTCCTCCTCCTCCTCCTCCTAGTGCTCCTCCTCCTGCTCCTCCTGCTCGCATTCCCATGCCACCTCCCGCCTTCCCGTCCAACTCCACCTCCTTCCTGCTCCCCTTCCGGCTCCTCCCCCTCATGAACTTCCTGCCCTCTCCTGGTACGTCGCATATTTCTTCTCCATGCCTCCCAGATGAAATTTCAAGAAGTCTCAAGGATGGAGGGCACGCCGCTTTCGTAATGTGTATCCGTACATGCACCACGCACATTAGACTTTTTTTACCCGGGAATGGAATACATGTCATCGCTAAATGGCCGGGGAACATGCTTGACCACGCACCCCCGCAATGTCAACGGCAAGAGAAATACACTGGAGCTCGCAGGATCCAAATACACGAGTTCCCGCGTGGAGGGGGCTGCATGACGACAGATCCTGCACGTACACGGACTGCCGCGTGGAGGAGGGGTGCAGAGAGACAAAACCCTCCTCGTTCGCAAATTGTCGCGTAGAGGAGGACTGCGCCCCTCGTGCGCGAGTTGTCGTGTGGAGGAGGGCTCCAGAATGGCAAATACCTCTCGCACACGGATTGCCGCGTGGAGGGATGCAGAAAACAAAAACCAACAAAAACATCCTCCTCGTACGCCAGTGTGTCGCGTGGAGGAGGACTGCGCAGTGAAACAAAGCCTCTCGCAGGCTGAATGCCGCGTGAAGGAGGGCTGCAGAAACACGATATCCCTCTCGCGCACTGATTGCCGCGTGGAGGGACGCAAAGGGACATAATCCCCCTCGTGCACCTTTTTGTCGCGTGGAGGGGAACCGCGCAATGATTCATCGGGCACTCCGAGAGTGGTGCAAATTGGCGCGAGCCTCGCACAGAAGTCTCGAAAGCAATGCCTCTAACCTCGCAGTCTGGGCCGATCTGCTGGGAGCATGAGGAGGAGAGGAGCGAGGGGCACGATGACAAGGAGGAGCGCAGGGAGCGCTTCCGCCCGCCCAAGCCTTCACGCTGCTGGAGTGCGGCGGGCCGCGAGCCCGAGGGCGAGCCCTACCCGCCGAGGAACGAGCGCTCCCGCGAAGCGTGGACGCTGCCCCCCCCCCCCCCCACTGCCTGCAGCTCCACTTCTCTCCCACCCCTCCTCATGGATCGTAAGATCGGAGCTGCGAGTAGAGCTGAGATTGGAGAGATTGGAGCTGTTCGGCCACCGCTCACCGCGCCACCCCGCAGGCGGTCTTTCCATGGTTATCCTTAGCCCAACAGTCGCAAGCACCGTTTTTCACCGATCTGGTCCCCATCGTCACCAAGAACGGCGACGCCGTGAAGCAGCCGATGAAAGTAAACACGCAAGCTAAGACTCCGACGGCCACGGCGGCTGCACCTCCTGCCATGGCACCTGTCTGTTTGGCTGAGCAGCCCGACCTGCGCCGCCTGCGCCGCGTGCTTCCCTTCTGCGTGAGCGCGTCATCCATCCCCTTGGCCAAAGCAGACTTGCGTAACTGCTCCTCTAAGCGCCTCTCGACGGAAGCCGGCAACTCCTCCGACTGGAGCACCTCGACCATCTCTGCACGGCTCACCCAGACGATCTCCGTCCCGACAGGGATCTCGAAGGCCAGGGTATGACCCACAGGTGCCTCGCAGACGAAATCGAAGGCCATGCCCATGAACGTGTTCGGGCTTTGCGTTGAAACTGTGATCGTGTTGTTCTCCAGGCGGTACGACACACTGCCGTTCCCCACGGACTCCACGCGCTCACTGTCATGAGGGCACTGCTCAGTGACATTATCAGTATCCTCCACGAAAAACATCTTCAGCATGACGGGGTTCGCTGTTCGCCGGTATTCCGCTGGCACATCCATCAGCATTGCCGGAGCGTCGTCGGTACTAGCCCCCAAGAACGTCACGATGTCTGGCATGTCGATTCCTGCATCAGGGTCGGGGGATATGACTGTCTTGATGATGTTCCCGCGATATTCCACTGTGGCTGTCACGTTCAAGCCTCCGTGTCCTGTGTAATAACAGATGTTGCCATTGGGGCAAGGCAACAACCCCCCTCTGTAGCTGCATCCGCTATCGGCAAGTTGGTTTGCGTACTTGCGCCACGTTTCGCCCGCACGAAGATGGAGCTCGGTCTCCGACGCGACGTGCTGGTCCATAAGGTACTGGAGAGTTACCATGCCATTGCGATTGCCAGCTTCACCCGCTGCAGCGCCACGACCAGCACGCCTGAGCAGCGCCTCCTCTGCTGCATTCTGCAGCGTTACTGCCTGCAGTGGCAGGGCGAAGTTGGCGAATAGTACAAGGTGAGCGATACTGAGCACCATGGGCTCGCCTTTTCAGGTATGTGTGCTGTACTGGAAAGTAGCTCGTGCGGAATTGATTGCTTTGAAGTGACTCGATCCACACTTGCTTGAGCTAAAATGGCTACGGAACCACGCACATTAGACTTGAAAGCTTCAGATAGCTACAGACAAGGATGGAGAGCGGATAGAATTCAAAATGGGTCTCGCATCTGAGCGTCCCGCGCATTCGCTTCGAAATCTTCCGATAAACAGGCGGGTGTCTTTCGAACTGTGGTTCTCGCCAGACGCATGCAGTCGTGGGCTGAGTTCGATATATCGCTCGCCCTGACCACCCACGCTCATTTCACTGGCACATGACACGTTTTCAGGCCCCATCGTGAGCTCCACAGAAGGCCCAAATGGCAAAGTTCGTATGCCTGATCACGCCCATTTCGGTCGCCCACTTTTCTCGTGGCCACATCGGGAGCTCCATCTCCTTAGGCCCACCTGCTTCGCGGTACTCACAACTGCATGTGGTCGGGTCCTTCGCCAGGCTACGTTTTACCGCACTTGAGCCGAGCGTCGTTGCCACTGCAGCGAGTGCTTGACATATACTTTGCATGAGTCAAGGCAAGTGCGCATGTGTGCACGCATGCACATGTTCCGTGAAATTGTTGATCGAACAGTCGTCACCGAGGCTCGAATCTAGAAGTCACTTGACACGTCTTAGAGCAAGTCGGAAGAAACTGCGCAATCAGAGAAACAGGGCTCTTTGGTTTCATCGTGCCGGGCCGAGACGGTGCAGGGGGCGCGCATGGGCGACGGTGTACGAAGCCACGCAAGCGGACTACCAAGCGCCGCGACATCGCAAGCGATGCGAGAACTGGTCCGAGCCGACCGCGCAGCTCCACTGGCGCGCGAGGCGGCCGTGTCTCACGTGCGCTGTGCATGCGGCAAGCGCCCATGCATCGTTCGCGATGACGCCCTGACTGGCCCCGCCCCCCCCCGCCCCCCGCAACGTCGTGCAATTCGCAGTGTGCTGCTAGCACGGCCCTTTCCAGGGCCTCTGAGGCAGCTGGTGGCGGAGTTGGCGAAGCTCTGCTGCGATCTCGCCCATCCCGCCTGCGCTGAACAGCGGACGCAACTACCTTGCCAGAAACTGAATTCATGACGATCTCCACGCGATGCTCAAAGACCAGGGGCGGACAAATCCTGCCCCCCCCCTCCCTCCCCCCCTGGTCACGTCGCGATTCGCGCTGGCGCCCTCTGGGAATCAGCACTTCCTAGGAGTACGCATTCCCAGGCAGCGCTGGCGCGAGTCGCTGCGTTACCTGCCTATTTCCCACCTCCCCTCCCTCGGGGTCACGCCCGTTCTCGCCAGGGGATGCAACACTTGTCTCTGAGACGTGGGCCAGGCGCCGGCGAGGATGAGGACGCGAGGGGCAACGACCGCGAGCTGGGCTTTGAGGGGCGGCGGGGCCAGGCGCCGGCGAGGATGAGGACGCGAGGGGCAAGGACCGCGAGCTGGGCTTTGAGGGGCGTCGGGGGGGCGTCGGGGCGCGGGTCGGGGCACGGGGCGGGGCGGGGCAACCATGGGCGGCGGCGCGCGCGGGCGTCGGGCTTCACCTCTTCAACTGCTCCCGATGTTGCTGCTACTCCTGGTCCTCCTGAAAACACCTCCTCCTCCTCCTCCTCCTCCTCCTCCTCCTCCTCCTCCTCAGGCTCCTCCTCCTGCTCCTCCTGCTCGCATTCCCATGCCACCTCCCGCCTTCCCGTCCAACTCCACCTCCTTCCTGCTCCCCTTCCGGCTCCTCCCCCTCATTAACTTCCTGCCCTCTCCTGCTACGTCGCATATTTCTTCTCCATGCCTCCCAGGTGAAATTTCAAGAAGTCTCAAGGATGGAGGGCACGCCGCTTTCGTAATGTGTATCCGTACATGCACCACGCACATTAGACTCTTTTTACCCGGGAATGGAATACATGTCATCGCTAAATGCCCGGGGAACATGCTTGACCACGCACCCCCGCAATGTCAACGGCAAGAGAAATACACTGGAGCTCGCAGGATCCAAATACACGAGTTCCCGCGTGGAGGGGGCTGCATGACGACAGATCCTGCTCGTACACGGACTGCCGCGTGGAGAGACAAAACCCTCCTCGTTCGCAAATTGTCGCGTAGGGGAGGACTGCGCCCCTCGTGCGCGAGCTGTCGTGTGGAGGAGGGCTCCAGAATGGAAAATACCTCTCGCGCAATGATTCATCGGGCACTCCGAGAGTGGTGCAAATTGGCGCGAGCCTTGCACAGAAGTCTCGAAAGCGATGCCTCTAACCTCGCAGTCTGGGCCGATCTGCTAGGAGCATGAGGAGGAAGTGGAGCGAGGGGCACGATGACAAGGAGGAGCGCAGGGAGCGCTTCCGCCCGCCCAAGCCTTCACGCTGCTGGAGTGCGGCGGGCCGCGAGCCCGAGGGCGAGCCCTGCCCGCCGAGGAACGAGCGCTCCCGCGAAGCGTGGATGCTGCCCCCCCCCCCCCCACTGCCTGCAGCTCCACTTCTCTCCCACCCCTCCTCATGGATCGTAAGATCGGAGCTGCGAGTAGAGCTGAGATTGGAGCTGTTCGGCCACCGCTCACCGCGCCACCCCGCAGGCGGTCTTTCCATGGTTATCCTTAGCCCAACAGTCGCAAGCACCGTTTTTCACCGATCTGGTCCCCATCGTCACCAAGAACGGCGACGCCGTGAAGCAGCCGATGAAAGTAAACACGCAAGCTAAGACTCCGACGGCCACGGCGGCTGCACCTCCTGCCATGGCACCTGTCTGTTTGGCTGAGCAGCCCGACCTGCGCCGCCTGCGCCGCGTGCTTCCCTTCTGCGTGAGCGCGTCATCCATCCCCTTGGCCAAAGCAGACTTGCGTAACTGCTCCTCTAAGCGCCTCTCGACGGAAGCCGGCAACTCCTCCGACTGGAGCACCTCGACCATCTCTGCACGGCTCACCCAGACGATCTCCGCCCCGACAGGGATCTCGAAGGCCAGGGTATGACCCACAGGTGCCTCGCTGACGAAATCGAAGGCCATGCCCATGAACGTGTTCGGGCTTTGCGTTGAAACTGTGATCGTGTTGTTCTCCAGGCGGTACGACACACTGCCGTTCCCCACGGACTCCACGCGCTCACTGTCATGAGGGCACTGCTCAGTGACATCATCAGTATCCTCCACGAAAAACATCTTCAGCATGACGGGGTTCGCTGTTCGCCGGTATTCCGCTGGCACATCCATCAGCATTGCCGGAGCGTCGTCGGTACTAGCCCCCAAGAACGTCACGATGTCTGGCATGTCGATTCCTGCATCAGGGTCGGGGGATATGACTGTCTTGATGATGTTCCCGCGATATTCCACTGTGGCTGTCACGTTCAAGCCTCCGTGTCCTGTGTAATAACAGATGTTGCCATTGGGGCAAGGCAACAACCCCCCTCTGTAGCTGCATCCGCTATCGGCAAGTTGGTTTGCGTACTTGCGCCACGTTTCGCCCGCACGAAGATGGAGCTCGGTCTCCGACGCGACGTGCTGGTCCATAAGGTACTGGAGAGTTACCATGCCATTGCGATTGCCAGCTTCACCCGCTGCAGCGCCACGACCAGCACGCCTGAGCAGCGCCTCATCTGCTGCATTCTGCAGCGTTACTGCCTGCAGTGGCAGGGCGAAGTTGGCGAATAGTACAAAGTGAGCGATACTGAGCACCATGGGCTCGCCTTTTCAGGTATGTGTGCTGTACTGGAAAGTAGCTCGTGCGGAATTGATTGCTTTGAAGTGACTCGATCCACACTTGCTTGAGCCCAAATGGCTACGGAACCACGCACATTAGACTTGAAAGCTTCAGATAGCTACAGACAAGGATGGAGAGCGGATAGAATTCAAAATGGGTCTCGCATCTGAGCGTCCCGCGCATTCGCTTCGAAATCTTCCGATAAACAGGCGGGTGTCTTTCGAACTGCGGTTCTCGCCAGACGCGCCGCGCACAGTCTGTCTAAAGGGCAGATCGTGTTCAGAACGCCGCTCTCGCCTCTACGCCGCGCGCAGTTGTCCTCACAGCTTCCCGCAGCCAGAACGGTGGACGGAAGGCAACTCCTTTTCGAAGGCGGGCTCTCGCCTTGCACCCAAGACCATGACTTCCCAGCCGTGAATCCGCTGCACGGGCGGACCGCCGCTCATCTCGGGAGTGGGGCTCCCCCGTGAGAGTGCGGGGGGGTCCACAATTGTGCACCACCACCGCCTCTCTCACCCCCACGTTCTGTCAGAATGGAGGAGAGGAAGAAGGAGGACGAGGAGGAGGAAGAGGAGGAGGAGGAGGAGGACGAGGAGGAGGAGGAGGAGGAGGAGGCTGGGGGAGGAGAGGGGGGAGCAAGGCGGCGGTTGTGGTGTACGTTGTCTGCGCCCGCAGAGAAGTGCCTCGAAGCTGGCGGTCGGCAGCCTTGCCAAACCTGTGCAACAAACAGCAGGCGCTACACGCTGCCAACTTACACTCGCCGCGTGCGCGCGGGCGGCGCGGCCTTCGCCACGGGACGGGCCCCCCCCTCGACGGCGGCTCCTCTTCGAAGCAGGGCCCTCGCCGGGCAGTTCCTTGACCCGATGTTGCAGCCTACTCGAATTTCAGACACGGTGATGGCATTGGATAAGGAAACCTTCGATAAGGAAACCAGGGTCTGGAAGCCAGTGGAAAGCCAATCGTGGATTGGCCATGGATATCAAGGTCGCCCTCATCAGAAAAGGAACCCTCCAGGGTCTGAAGCCCCTGGACACATTCCTTAACCGACGACCCCACCGTAGTTCGAAGGGCGCAAGACCGAGTTGTTTCATAACGGTGCTCGCACCTGAAGGGGACACGGGGCGCTCGCATGGGCTTACGGAGAAGAGCTCCGGGGCGGGAGGATGCCTTGCAGCATCGCTGAGGCGCTGAGGCACCTCAGGTTTCTATTTGTCCTCCTCCTCCTTCGCCTCCTCCCTCTTCATTCCCTTCCCATCTTGCTCCTCCCCCCTTCCAAGGACGACGACCGACCGACGGCGGCCGACGGAAGACGACGGCAACGACGACGGACAAAAACGCAGACGACGACAAGGACGAAGAGTACGCTGACGGCGACCACGGACGACGACGACACAGGACGACGACGACTGCGACGACGACGATGATAGACGATGGACGACAGACGACAGACGACAGACGACGACGACGACGACGACGACGACGACGACGACGGCAGACGAGGACGAGAACGAGGACGAGGACGAGGACGAGGACGACTACGACGATGGCTACGACGACCCAGCGACGACGACCGTCCGACGACGTGGCGGGCGGAGCGGCAGCTCGACGCTCCGCGGCTTCTGTGCCTTGGGCTCCTGGGCGAGCGGCGGCCAGAGGTGGGCGAGGAGGAGCGACGAGGAGGACAACGAGGATGACGAACACGAGGAGGAGAGCAGGAGGGAAGGGGAGAGACGAGGAGGAGGAGGAGGAGGAGGAGGAGGAGGAGGAAAGACGAGGACGAGGACGAGGAGGTGGAGGAGGAGAAGGAGGCCGAGGGAGAGAAGGAAAGGATGAGGCCGAGGGACGAGGAGAAGGAGGAGGAGGAGGAGGAGGAAGACGAGGCCGAGGGAGAGCATGAGGGATGGGGGACAACTTTCGTCTTACACCGTTCTGGCATGTTGATCACCGGTAGGTCGTGTTAAAAGCTGGGTTTCAAAACTTGCCCCCGCCAGCAACACATCGAGCATGGACTCGAAAGCGCGCGCCGAACGAGGGCATTGGCGAATTTGAATTTTTGCACATTGGGTTCGGTGTTGTTGCAGCTACTGCATCTCCTGTCCATTCAGCGCTGCTGATATCCTATCAGGTGGGGATAGGATGGCTTCCACCTTCCACCCCTCCTTAGCTGCTGGGGCACGGAGACGGTGCCCGGAGTGAATTCCCTCCGCTTCTTTGGAGAACAGTCTCCCAACAAAGCGTGGCCTTTTCCCCGCCGAGGGGACACAGAGAGGTGGGGAGAGGAGGATCCCAGGAACGAAGCGGAGGCGACCTGATGGGTCCGAAATTTGTCTTCTCAAGCTCGCGAGCTTGAGCTTTTTCTTGGGCAAATGGGTCCCAGGGCGACGGAATTGCCCGCTACGGTGAGGCGCAGCTGGAGGCTGCCGCCTTAGCCTTCTGCCTCACCTTTTTGTCCCTCTCTGTTCTTTGAATGGACTTGTGGACTTGTGCGTGCACCCGTGCACCCGAGGGAGGGGAAAAGACAAGGAGGATAACATTCGCCAGCCAGCGATAACATTCGCCAGGCTATTTAGTTTGATCCCCTCCCAAGGGCCGACTCGTCCTGGGGGGGTGGGGGCAGTGGGTCAGTTGGCCGGGAGAAAAGGAGAGGACGAGGAGGAGGAGGAGGCGGAGCTACAGCTCCACTGCTGAACTTTGCCACGCGTCGCAAAGGAGGAGGAGGAGGAAGAGGAGGAGGAGGAGGAGCAGGAGGAGGAGGTCGAGGAGGAGGAGGAGGAGGAGGAGGAGGAGGAGGTCGAGGAGGAGGAGAAGGAGGAGGAGGAGGAGGTCGAGGAAGGAGGAGTAGGTCGAGGAGGTCGAGGAGGAGGAGGGAGGAGGAGGAGGAGGAGGAGGAGGAGAGAGGAGGAGGAGGAGGAGGAGGAGGAGAGGGTCGAGGAGGAGGAGGAGGAGGAGGAGGAGGAGGAGGAGGAGCCCACGCCTCGGAGGGGGGCGCGGTCCTGTCAACCGCCCGCGCCTAGCCCTCGGCGCCGACGCGCGCGCCGTCGGCCAGCTCGGTGTCAATGAAGCCGCCGACCACGTCCATGGCGGCAGCGACGGTCTCTCCGTCATGAATTTCTTCAGTTGGTGCAAGATCACCAGCAGCACCAGGTACAGGGTGGACAGGAGCAGGCTCAGGCTGTATACCATGCTGTTCTTGACCCGCAGGAAGCTCACCACCTTGGTGCCCAGCGTCTTCACCATGGAGCCCAGCGCCTTCAGGGAGAGGCTCTTGGTCGTGACCAACACCCCCATGCACGACACCTTGATCGCGTGGGACAAGATCTCCACCATCACGACGACCAGGATGGACCTCACCACTAGCATGCGATAGTCCTTCACCCTCGGGCCGAAGAGCATCAGAAGTATGTGAGGGCTCGCCTATGCCGCACCCGTCAGTGTGATTGCTGTCGTCGAACTCGAAGTCAGAGGGCTGATCAGCTCCATCATTGACCAGCGGATCCCGTATTGCAGCCAAAACGTCGATCACGTAGCCGTCGGGCGAGACAGATGCATCGAAGTCCGAGGATACACCAGGCAAGCCAGCTTCGCCCTCACCGCCTGCAGGAGCCGCAGGGCCAGAACGCCCCGAAGCACCAGGCATATCCGCATCAGCATGATGATCTTGAAGAAGAAGCTGCGGCCTCTCCAACACCGTCGTGATGAAGTCGATCGCGGGCTCCGTCAGGCTCGGAAACAGGTGACGGAGCAGCAGCACAGCCTGAGCGTGGTCCACACCATGAGGAAGCGGTGCACCGTCCCAAACACCAGGAGGAAGTTCTGGAAGCCACGTTAAGGAAGAAGAGAGAGTTGAAGGTGACGACGGCAAATCTGGCAGCAGCCGATCAATCAGCAAAGGGACGATGCGCATCGTGTCGGGCCGAATACTATCCCACCGAGCAGACGATCCAGACGCGCGCGCCGATGAAGGAGCAGAGCCACTTGGCGGAGGTACGGGTAGCCGAGCATCGCCCTCAGCATCTTCCGCGGGCGCTGTAATGACGTCGTGACCAGGCAAGGACGCTGCCGCCGTACCAGCAGAAGGCGCTTCACCCATAGTGGCGGCGATCATCTGTGCAGCCAAAAGTTGATTGAAAGCATCTTGACCTTCATCAGCCTCTCCGACATCGTCCTCAACATCGTGCATGCTGCGAGCGTCCACGTCAGGCACTTCCAAACTTTCCGCTTCGGCCTGTGCCATCATGAGCTCGCCCGCCCCCACCTCTCCGTCATCGTGGAACGTGACCTCGGCACCGAATACAGGGAGAGCGGGATCGCCCTCTGCGTCGCCTTCCAAAAGGGAACCTGGGTTGAGTAACATCCAGACTACAAGCTCGCGCTGCTCTGCAGAAAGTTGGTAATTGTCATCCAGATACCGTGTGGCAACCACAAGTTGAGCAGGCGAAAGTGCATCTCCAGGTTCCGCTGGGGGAGAAGAACCCCCTTGCGCCGCCTTAGTCGCGGACCGAACTAGGACACTGACAGTTTGGAGCGCCCGCAGTTGTAGCAAGGCTTGACGCTCATCGTCGCCGTCGCAGTGAGAGGGTGCTCCAGATCCTTCTTCAAGAGCGCCCCCCGCAAGAACAGCACCAAGAGGGGCCGGCTTGGGCGGCGGCGACGTTGAAGCAGACGCAGGCGTAGACGAGGCTGCAGAAGGCCGAAGGGCCCCACCAAGGGAGCCGTCGGGGTAGATAACGCCAAACCCATGGGCAGCCATCGTTTGATTGAACTCATCGCCGGAGCTATCATTGGCAGCCACTGGCGAAGAAGGGCGCGCAGGTGAAGTCCGAGTTGGGGGAGCCGACACCGAAGCCGCAGGAGGTGCCGACGATGAAGCCGCAGCATCACAGCCTTGATCACGCCTGAAAAACTCCCGAGACCTGCGCAAAGCCAGCTGTACTTGCGCTTCAAACTCTTCGTCGGTGAGGATGGGGCCGAAGTGATGCGAAAACTCTCCAGCGTCCATTGTATCATTCTCGTACTCGGGCGGTGGCGATCCACCAGGTTCGGGCGCCTCCGTGACAGCGGCAGCCTCGACCATGCACTCGATGTCCTCGTCGGTTGGGTCGGGGTAGCCGTCCGCATCAATGCTTTCGTTGTCTTCGTCGGGCAGATGGGCGGAGCCAACGGCAGCCGCTGCATCCAGAAGGGCTTGCTCGTGAAGGTGAGGAAGAAGGAGCAGATCAGGTGCCGCAGCCTTCGCAGGGCCAGAAAAGAAAGTACGGCGAACCAGCTGAAAATCCCCGCGCTCTTCTGGTGGCATCCTCGAGATATCAGGGCACCAATCCAATTGCCGCAGGTGCGCCAAGCCCTGGCGCCGTAGCGCTGCAAGACGGCGGCGTTCATTGGGCGGCCACGGGTCGCTGAGCTGTTGACGAAACCGCTCCCTCGGTATAGCGCCTTGATACCACCCATGCAAGCAGAGCTCAATGGCGAGCTCCCAGCGCTTCGCCACGTCCGTCCTCATTGGCAGGGCACTGCAGAATACCTCTGAAGCCGTCAAAGCGTAACGTGTCAGCCGTGTATGGAACGCACCACTCCACCCACTGCTGGAAGTCGCTGCCGATGGTGCTGGCAAGCAAACTCGGAACCCATCTCTGTGACCACATACCAGTGCGATCCAGAAGTGCCATATACTGAGGGTGTCCAGGGAAGCGCGGAGGAGGAGGGTCACCTCCTGCAGCACCGACAAGTGGCCCAGCGCCGTCACGTCCTGAGCGATTGCCACTGCCGCTTTCCACATCCCAGATATCCACAGCCAACTCATCAGCACGAGAGCACAAATCATCAGCAACAAGCGAACCATAGTCCCGTAGTTCAGGAAGAAGGGAACGAGGTTCTGGCCGAAGGAGTTGAAGCTCTTCTTCGATGTCAGGTGTAACCACAGCAAACGACGCAAGACCATGGGGCCACCAACGAAGATCCATGAGAAGCTGGGCCCGCTCATGCGCCACCTTAAACCAGCTGCTCGAATCCGATTGCTGTAATTCTGTGTAGTGCTCAACGAGCCTGAGGCGGCCAACACGAGAATTGTGCCATTCCACATGAGCTACGCTTGAAGCAAGTGCGGTTCGTTCTCCCAAGGCAGCGGTCGGATCGCCGAAAAGGCCCACGAAGTGCTTGTAGCGAAAGACGATGCACAAGAAGTCGGTTGCCCACTTCATCCAGTCTTCGAAGTCCGTCAGACCATTAGCGACGAAGAAGAACGAGCACAGCCATTTGCGCGCCCACGATTGCACCAAAGAGCCCAAATCAGCTAGCCGCGCACTCATGATGGGACCGATCCCACTCGGCTGTAAAATAGCGAACTTTGCTTCTCCCCAAGCACGCGGATAGCGAACTCGCCCAGGTAGACAATCGTGCAGTGAGTGATGACCACGTGGAAGATCCACCATGAGTACAGGAGGCCACTGGACAGCAGGAGAGGGTGGTTCTGGTAGCCCCGTCGTAACAAGATGCTGCCGCGGACGAATGTGGGCCCGAGTCCGACCAGCCGCCGGGCACGCCAATGCCCGAACACGAACAGCACCACGCGCTGTATGGAGAAGATGCTCAGGACCGACATAATCCAGATGCCGTACTTCGTGGTAGATGGTGGTGGCGAGCTGCAGGTTCATCAAGTCGTCGTCGTATGCACCGCGAAGGCCCCACCTATCAAGAATGTTGCCAGGCAGTTCGATGCGGCCACCCGTCTTCGCCATGGCGATGTCCCACGCGAGACCACGACAAACGAGATAATGACCGATCTCGTCCGAGCAGCCTGCGCAGCCAAAGATGCATGTGCGAGGCCCTGAAGGCGACGATATCCTCGACGACGTAAGCCAACCACCGCAAAGGCCGCGCAGCAGCGCTGAAGCCCAGGCCGCGGGGTAAGTGACCATCTTGTCCTGCAAACATTTCCAGTCGAGCTGCGTGGGATCGTCCACCAGGGATGGAAACCATTTGGACCACTGTTTGACGATCGTGACCACCAGCGGCGAGTCAGTGTTGTACGAGTTGTTCAGAAACGGCAGCATCATGTCCTGATAAAGCGCCGAGTAGGCGGCACGTTGAACTGCGCGACGAGCTTCAGGGAACTCTGCGAGAAGCGTGCGCGCCGAATCAGCACCCGAAGAAGCCGTGCGTTGCGAAGCCAGAGCCAAGTATTCCACATAGGATGGCTGATCCCAGAAATGAGGAGACAGTCGATCTCGAAGATCAGCAAGGACACGGAAGGGAGCCCAGCGTTCAGCGGCCACCTGAAGACGATGGAGGTAACGAGCGTGTTCAGGATGAGTAGTAAGAGCCGAGCGAATAAGCGCAGAACCACACGCAGGGCCAAGAGCACGAAGCTTGGGGCCACCCCACTGGCCAAGACAGTGGAAATCCACATACCGTAGAGCGCCACCAGGCAACCGCAGAAGCCGCACCAAGTTGTGGATATCTTGTTGAAGTAGCTGCTTGGGGAGTGGTGCGAATTGTGCCACGTAGGACAACGTGGGTAGCGCTCTGGCCATGTAGTTGATTGCATTCAAAGAAGCTGGCGCAGCCGACGAAGCAAGCGCCGATATGCGAGTTCTGTATTTATCCCACGGGCTCAGCCAAGAGCATAAGTCAGTAACGGCAGGTCCCAACCACATGCCAAGGTAGAGCAGCGTCGCTTCAATGCGAAAGGCAGGCCAGTGAGGCACCAGTTGTTCCAGACCATTTCGCAAGCCGGCCCTCAGATCGCCTCCGAACCTCCCCGCGAGCGGGACGATGACGCACTTCGGCGGCTTGAGCTTAAGGTTGGCAATTTTTCCGCCACCGCCATGACCCGTGCCAAGAAACGCAAGTCCACCAAGGCGAATAATACGCCGCCGATATCATCAGCGCACGCGCGAAAGAGACCACGACGTTTGAGCTCCAGCCCAAGGCGAAGATCTTCGAGAAACGGCGAAGTAGCAGCCGCGAACAAGCTACCAGACAACGCACACCCTTGGATGATGCCGCACTCGATGGCGAAGAGACCCGCAGTAATCCCACCGAGCCGCCCCACAGCTGTGACAGAAGCATAAAGCGAGCAACGGGCTGAAAAGAGAGCATCAGGTAGGCGAAGCCGTTTGAGCACCGTAAAAAAGGTATTGCTGACTCAAACTGGGGAACGCCTGGCCGAAGTCGAGTGCCACCAAGATCGGCTGCTACTCCCGTGCCCGAGGTTGAAGGGGCGCAGTCCTCGCCATAACGTCGAGCTCGAGAATGTTCGATGTAAGCTGCCTGCCCGCGATAAAGCCCCGCTGCGTCCTTGAAGTAGTTTGCTGCGATCGGCGAGGAGGCCACGTTGAGAGTTGCGGAGATGACCTTCATATCGGTGTTGCGAAGGCCGAGAATACGCACAGTGTCAGGGGAGCGAACGACACCGCGCTCGCCATCGTCTCCAGCATGGCAACCTTTGGGAAGAAAAGCCTGCAGCGTCGCTCCCGCTGACGGGAAGAGCGTCTGACCATCCATCATCCAGCGACAAGCCTGCCATAATACCTCAGCTCCATGCTCATGTGCTGCCCAAGCAACATAGGGGAGGCCGTCCACTCCAGGCGCGGAGCGCGATGGCGCCATACGCCGCAAAGTACGCTGAAGCATCTGAAGCGAAGGTGGGGGAACATCATCGAACACGCACGGCATGACAAACTTCTGAGTGCACCGCTCAGCATGTGCAGGGCACGAAGGAGGGCGAGCTGACACAGGCGCCCAATAGCTGACCAGCGCGTTCAACTTCTCGGCAGGATCAGAAAGCTGCTGGTCGCCAACCTGAATGACGCGCAACGTGAGCCGCTTGCCGAAGGGGACCCAGAGCTTGGCTTTCCTTTGTGCTGCAGAAAGTACCAGGAGAAACCTTAGCGCGGCCTTTCCCATGAAGAGCACCCTGTTGGAGAACCGCCAGCTCTTGCTCAGCCGCTCGATGTTGTATAGTTTCCACCCAAGCTTGAAGCGCCGCAGGATGCACCAACTGAACCAGTCCCTCGGTGGTGATGTTAACGCAGCTGTTGAAGACCTCGGACGAGTTGGCAACCTTCTGAGCAAGACGCGCATCCTGCCGCCAAATAGCGCGCGCAGCTTGCCGAGCAAAAATCAATTGGGCTTCAGGTTTGTCAATGTCAGTAACCAGAATTTGTTGAAGCGTATCATAAGCCGCTGAGTCCATAAGCACCTTGTCCCTTTCCATCTGACGAGGAGGAGACATAGCTGTGAGGAAACGACCATCTTGGCGCAGAAGCCTGTCGAGTCGAGCGCGAAAGTCATCACAAAGATACACAAAACGCGGAACAGGACGCCGATAGATATCATCAAGAGAGCGATGCTGAAGGTGGACCCGAAGAGCTGCATGATCCGAAATGTGCTGCTCGCTGAGGCGCTCAGGTGACGAGACCACTGCTGCGGAATGATGAAGTTGGCAGGCGACCCATCCAGGCTCGGATAACCAAAGACGATCAAGCTGAGCGACAGTATGAGAGTCTTTGCAATAATGCGTAGGGTCTTCCGCCGAAATCTCAAGCATCTTGTCCAGCACCACCGTCCAGCTCTTCATATGCGCGCGATTGTTGTTGGTCGGACGGGTCGATCGCTTCAGGCACGGCTGAGAAAGAAGTAGTGGCTCCGATGCTGCAAAGTTGAAATCGCCACATACAACCACCAGTCTTGACTGTGGATCGGCTTGTGCCCACTCTAAGTCAGTTGCAGTAAGAGAAGATATACGCTGAACATCGCCGTGATGAAGGTCATGGTTGTGCACGTTATAATGGCGAATCTCGGCTTGTGACCCAACCAACCACGTCTTGAGCGCCCGGCCTGAAACCGGCGAGCGAGATGAGGACGCCGCCGCCGATTGAGCTGAAAGAGGTACCACCGTCGCAACACCACCACGCGTATGGCCGCAGGCGCCGGTGTCGAACGAGCCGAAGACGGTAACCTCTGGAGCGATCCGCCGCAAGAAGGAGCGAAACTCGTCCAACGATTGATGAACCTCTTGCAGAGCAAAAACGGAAGAAGAAATCCCCGCAACTGTAAGTAGGCCGCCTTAGCCATCGCTTGCATACCTCGCCAACGTAGTAGTGCACGAGCGATCCACGTGACGAAGGACAGCTCAGAGCACTTAAGAGGGAGACTGCCAGTGACATGATGCAGAAAGATGTCGTCGAATATGCTAAAGCGCCCACTCAGGCGCAGCCGTCGGCGCAGCGATTGGATCAAGGAGGCGACGTAGTTCAGCTCGTGATCATTGCCGTGCGGTGATCGCAGCGTCGTGCCAGAAGATCTTCGTGGGGTCGCGACCAGGCTGCGGCTCGATCCTGACAATAGGGTTCCAACTCTCTGTGATCCACCCATTTTGGCGATCGAAGTAGAATTTGGCGTCTTTGAACTCATCGCGAAGGGCTGCAACCATTTTTTCCTGTGATCTCCATCTTGATCTGATAAGGGTTCTTGTCGGGGCCGATATGCAGCTGGGTGCTTCCCCCGCTGGCTGCGGGTATGGGGAAGCGCATCCATTGTCCTTTACCAGGAAGACGAAGAGCTGATAAAGCGGCAGCGACCTTCTTTCCAGCGATACCCACTGCACCAGTGAACTGGATCGTGAAGAGCTTGTCTTGGTCGTCGCCCTGAATGGTGAAGCCGTCGATGCTTGCGTCCTTGAGCCACTTATCCACAGAGCCCTGAACGTCGCACTTCTTGACGAGGGTAGGAGCGACGACCTTGAGAATCGTGCCATCCACCGCTCGAGTGAACCCAGGCGTCGGCTTAGGTGGACGCGGCGACCGATTTGCGACCACCAACTCTTTGCGAAGCTCTTCGACGAGGGACTTGAGCTGCTCCATGTCCGTGGCCAGCGTCTCTGTGCGGGTGTCGATGTCTCGGACCTGCGACTGGATGGTGTCGATCTGCTGCTGTAGGCGTCGCTGCATGGCCTCGAACTCGGGACGAAGTTGCGCTTCAAGTTGGGACGTGCATGTTTGCGGAACTTGCTGAACTGCAGTTTCGACACCTTTGATGGCAGCCATGACAGGATCGACGGCGGACGAGGCAGCCTTGCTGGCGGACGCGGTGACGGGCTCGGTAACCTCGGTCTGGAAGATGTTGAACTTGGCCTGCAGCTCTCCATGAATGAGCCCTTTGATATGCTCGTCCCAGCCAACCGAGTCCATGAAGTCCTCTTCACCCTCGCTGGAGGCACCTCTGTTGGAGCGAGAACGAGCGTCGTCATCACCAGCGGCTGCAGGTTCTGCACCAGCACGCGCATCACCATCAGCAGCGACGCTAGCACCACGTACGGCACGAGGCTTCTTCTTGCGCTTGACCCCATCTGGCATGGGCGGGCGCGCGCGCGGACGCGGGGCGGCGCGGACCCGTCGTGATCTGGCCGCGGTGACAGCGGTATCCGTGCAATGCCAGTGGGCTGCGCCCACCCAAGCATTGGTTGGGTCTTGAGCCAAAATGGCTACGGAGGAGGAGGAGGAGGAAGAGGAGGAGGTCGAGGAGGAGGAGGTCGAGGAGGAGGAGGAGGAGGAGGAGGAGGAGGAAGAGGAGGAGGAGGCCGAGGGAGAGAAGGCACACCTGCCCACAACAAATGACCCTCGCGACCTCTCGCCGCGCCCCGCGCCTCTCCTTGCTCGGGGCGGCCTGGCACGCCTTCGGCGGCTCGAAGAGTGCCCTCAGCCGGCCGATGTCCTCCGCGGCACCGGGCACCTGCAGGCCGACTCTGAAGGGCCTCCTGCTGCTGCCTCCTCCTCCTCCGCCTCGTCCTCCTCCTCCTCCTCCGCCTCCTGCCTGCTTTCAGACGCAGACAGAGCCGAGACAAAATCGGGCCGATATGAATCGGAAGTGAGAATCGGCGGGCTTAGAACAAGCATCGGGCGCCGCGGCCGTTTCGGAGCGTTCCGGAACGCCTCGAGAGCGTTCTGGAACGCTCTGGACCGATTTATCTCGATTCGAGTCCTGCCTGATCCTCCTCCCTGCTGTCGCAAAAACGGGTCTGCAAAACCTGCCGTGTCCGTAGCCGCTTCAGCCCAGTATCCAGAGTCCCGCGCAGCGCGCGCTCAAGTTGTCCTGCGCAGCTGCGCAGAGCAGCGCGTGCTCAGATGGAGCCAGCTCCAACGCGGCGTGCCATGCCACAAAAAGACTACCGAGCGTCCTGGCTCACTCGGATCTCACATCTCCTCCTCCTGCCGTTCATCCCCCTCCTCCTCCTCCTCCTCCTGCATCCTCGTCCTCCTCCTCCTCCTCCCCCTCCTCCTTCTTCTTCTCCGCCTCGTCGTCCTCCTCCTCGTCCTCGTCCTCCTCCTCCTCCCTCTCCTCCTCCTCCTCCTCCTCTTCCTCCTCCTCCTGCCTCTGGGGAAACGACAAAGTAGCTATACCTCTATTCCCAGGACCTCCCCTTGGATGCGTTCGGACCAAGATTTCGAAGCGAATCCGGTGGCAACGAGGGCCTCCCAGGAGGCCCCCAAAGGCGAAAACTAACGAAGGGTAGCGGCATGGGCCCCTCTTCTTCATTTGAGCCTCCTCCCTTCTGCACCCCATGTGCGTCCTCTTCGTCGCGCCTCGGAGGCCCTCTGGAAGCCTCCAAGGGGCCTCCTGGAACCTCTTGTGGGTCAGGATCCAGGCTGCCTCTCGTGATGTCTGGGAAGGTGTCCACGAAGGGCATGCGGCCGAACCTCGCACCTTTGCCTCGGAGTCGCGTTGCGTTGCGCGCGGGTGCGCGCGCAAGCGGGCGCCGTCGTCGGTGCATGTGTACCCTCCTCCTCCTCCTCCTCCTCCTCCTCCTCCTCCTCCTCCTCCTCCTCCCTCCCTCCACCCTCTCGTCGCCGAACCTGTGAGGACCCCCATGGCGGGTCGGACGGAAGGGTGAAGAATGGGAAAGGGTGGGCTACGAAATCTGCTGCGTGTGCGGCTCTTCGGCCTCGCCGCCCCTGGGAGGCCTCCAAGGGCCTCCCGCATGTTCTCTGTAGGTCAGGCTCTGAGGTGGCTCTTGTGGGTCAGGCTCTGAGGCGGCTTCCCCCTCCTTCGTCCTGCTCCTGCATGCTTCTTTGTGGCTGGTACTGGGCGCTGTCTCTCGCGTCCCGCGGCCCCCTGCGGAAACTGAACAAACGAGCGCCGTTGTTGTTTCAACAACCCTGCAGCCAAACCATTGGCAACGGGTATGCGACAGCGCGATGCATGAGTGAGAAGAGCATGCGCACGTAGTAGATTGGCCCGCGTGAGGCTAGAGCAATGACGGCGCATGACAGCAAGCGAATTCTTCCTCCTCCTCCTCCTCCTCCTCCGCCTCCTCCTGCTCCTCGCGCTCCCCCTCTTCCTCCTC